CTGCCCAAACGGCCCTTCGCAGATTGAAAGCGGCGACCTCGTAGCACCGGCCCTAATTGAATTAATTGCCCCGGAACATCTAATTTCCTCACTGGTCAGAGAGAGGTTTAATTGTTATGAAAACCCGGCTCCCCGACTAGAAACGGGGTTAGCAATTTCACGGGTTATATACTTTAGAGAACCTCATTAAGTGCTTTTTAAAATGAATTTCCAGTTCCAGGCTAGCCCTGACTACCAGATGAGCGGGGATGACACCCAGCACATCCAGCAGTTCTACGATCTCCTCACGGGCTCCATGGAGATCATCCGGGGGTGGGCAGAAAAGATCCCCGGCTTTACCGAGCTCCCCAAAACAGACCAGGACCTGCTCTTCGAGTCCGCCTTCCTGGAGCTCTTCGTGCTGCGCCTCGCTTACAGGTACCGCCCCGAGCGGGCCCTGCGGGGCGCCGCAAACCCGGCCTTTCAGGGTCCACTGATCTGCATTTTATTAACTCCTCCGTAATTAGGTGCCTCTTAAATCCTTCATTTATTGCTCCTCAAGTAATTAGTTGTTTAGCTTTTCTCCCCCCACCTTGCTTCTCTTTTTCTTTTTTTTTCTCTTGCTTTTGTCTTTTTTTCTTTTCCTTTTTTTTTTGCTTTCCCTTCTTTTTTTTTTTTCTTTCTTTTCTCTCTTTCCGTATTTTCCCCTTTCTGATCTGCCTTCCTTCCTTCCGCTCATTCATTCTCCGTTCATTTTGGGCTTGCCCTGTTCTTCGCAGGTCAAACCCCGTGGAGGGCAAGCTTATTTTCTGCAATGGGGTTGTGCTGCACCGGTTGCAGTGCGTCCGTGGCTTTGGTGAATGGATCGACTCCATCGTGGAATTCTCCTCCAACTTGCAAAACATGAACATCGACATCTCCGCGTTCTCCTGCATCGCTGCCCTGGCCATGGTGACAGGTCGGTGCCTCCTTCTCTTTCTTTTCCCCGCCGCAGCACTAGGCATCGCGCTGCCCCTGCGCTCCGCGCGCTGCTCACCTGTAATGGCTGCATCCTTGTCTTTTGCAGAGAGGCATGGGCTTAAGGAACCCAAGAGGGTGGAAGAACTGCAAAACAAGATTGTAAATTGTCTCAAAGACCATGTGACTTTCAATAACGGGGGATTGAATCGCCCCAATTATTTGTCCAAACTCTTGGGGAAGCTCCCTGAACTTCGCACTCTTTGCACGCAGGGGCTGCAGCGCATTTTCTACCTGAAATTGGAAGATTTGGTGCCACCTCCAGCAATAATCGACAAACTTTTTCTGGACACTTTACCTTTTTAAGACTCTTCCCATGCACTTACGTTGAACTTAAACTCCACCTGTCTGAAGGGGGATTCATCTGGGCGCCAAGCGGCACCTTTGGGTGCCCGATTCCCATCCCCAAAAAACTTGCTAACTTCCTGCAGGCAGAACATGAATGGGCATTTTGGCTCTGGGGCATCATGGATTCAGATCATGGACTACACAAATACCATGGTATAAACTTTTTATTATCAGCTTAAAATGAATTTATTATTAAGGACTTCTGGTTAAAAAGATGAACATATCTGGCAACGCCGGGTGCGCAGCTAAGACTCATATGATGACAAAAGTATTAAAGTGACCCACAAGTCTCACCCTCTTAGAGTTTTCGGCTGTAAAAGAAAGCTGTAATATATACTAAAACCTAAATGTTGCGTGGGTGGCATGTCATTAAAGAAGGCAAAGGCTTGTAAATTTATCAGTTTGGCTTTTTAAAAATTATTCTGATTATTATGTGCCTATTTATGAATAAATATTGAAAATAATACTAAAAAAATAAAGCTAAACATGTTTGCAAAAAAAGGAAGAAATAAAAATAAATCATAACAGGGAAGCATGATGATTCTAGGGTGACAATGTTATAGGCACTTGCTATTTCAGTAATGTCTATATTCTATAAATAGTATTTCAGACACTATGTAGTCTGTTAGCTTTTATAAAGATTGGTAGTTATCTAAGCTTCAAACATTTTCTCAATTGTAAAATAGGTGGGCACAAGTATTACAAAACCGAACTCCTCGACAAAGGGACACATAGTGTTTGTAAACACCGTCCAACATTCCTTGTTTGTAAGTGTTGTATGTACTGTTGATGTTGATTAAAAAAAAGAAGTTTATATCTTGATTATTTTGTTGTCTAAAGCTAAACAAATCTTGCATGCAGCAGCTTTTGACTGTTTCCAGAGTGCTTATAATATACATAACTCCCTGGAAATTACTGAGCACTTTGAATTTTTGTTTTGTTTTTGTTTTTGTTTTTTAATGTCTAAAATTGTCGGTTAATATATTATTTTATGTTCGAGTAATATTTTTAATATTGCCATATTGTGTAATATTTTTCTTTGTATATTTCCAGTATGGCACATTATACGAGTCACTGCCTTTTTTTCTATGGTGTATGACAGTTAGAAACGCGGATTTTTTTTTCCTGATAACTCTTTCTTTGGGAAAGACAATTTTAATGTTTACAACAATAAAACACGTAAACGAATAGACTTTCGTCTTCTTTCTGTCTAAGTGAGAAGCACCACCACCAGCATCCATTGCAAATGCAGGACAATAGCCTGACAATGTAGTAATAAACTGCAGAGGAGGATGGATGGGGCTGTTTCATTTAAGTAATGTGTGCAGCAGAACTTGCCAGCTCCGCGGGAGGAGGAAGAGGAAAAGCCGCACGAGAAGGTTGGTCCTTTCCCGGCTGTTACTCGGGCGGCTCCCGCGGCGGGGCTCGCACGGGCAGCGCCGCGGGGACG